GGTTTTGCGATGTGAAACCGTAGATATCATTATCTTTATTATAGTTTTTCTTAAGTAACCAAGAAACGCAAAGAAGACTAGATAGCATTGCTAACGTTGTTGAGCAGATTAGCTTTGCGGCACAGTGAATTCGCAGAAGTCAAGCCTCGTGCGTACCAATTAAGTTATACATGTGCACCCTTCGATAGCGATCAAGCCCAGTTGCAACCTAGTTTTTTAATGGCTCATCTGCGCAAGGTGAGGAAAGGAGGTTGGGAGGTTCACATACGAACTAAGTATGCAGATTATAAACTCTGGGTTAATGCTTTACAGTAGCTACTTTCTCCTTCATATAATAGCGGCCCTGCACATACTTTTTCGCAGCCTTGGCACACACTTAGTGCGTTAACGCGCATAAGGAATTCTGTGAGTTGTGAAAGCATTGTGATATTGTCAGATTTAAATGTCTTTGCAGCATGCCTATGCACACTAACACTTGCTTACATATCGTCAGGGACGTAGACGCATTTTTTAATTACTAGTACACACTCTTCAGTCTTTATTTCACAAAAGGCTACAAAACGACCACTTCAATCAAAGCGGTCATGGCAGCTGCCAACTGGCAGGTGCCAAGGACCACTTTCAATATCACTCAAAGTGAGTGCACTGCTTGCCGTATTCACACAGTTTTCAGGCTCACGTGACCAGATAACACACTTCATGCATTTTCTTCAACCATCCTTCCTCGATTTGGAATCTTTTTGTGGCTTCAAAGATGTCACAGAAGGTTAGGAAAAGTTTAGGCACTTTCCTGGACACGACTCCACTTAATTACCGTGAGCATTTTGGACTTTGTTCCCATGAAAAGCGTGGCTTTAGGTTTCCAAGGTGTCCTCCACATGAAGATGCATATCGCAAACTCGTGATTTATCCGACAGCCTTTTGTAAATACGTGCAATAGCGTGATACCATGCAGCATGGAGAGCCACATGACGTGGAGCCTAGAAGTGTCTCAGGCACTTGTTAATGTTATAGCCGCTTGTGCATACAGCAGAACTTCGCTGTTGCGTTCTTCACTGCTGTGTTTTCTTGGTTGTTACATTGTTTTTCCTCGATCCCGGCGCTCGCATAGAATTTCATGTATTGCGAACTCTGCCGTAACGGCGGAACTGTGAGCGCATTACTGCATGATGTGTTGCAATCTAGTCCACCAAGTCTACCAGGGCACCGCCATTTTTTATTTTACTTTTGACAGTCTTGACATGGCTTGGCTACGGAACAGGCTACAAGAAGTCGCAGGCGAGTTGGAAAGGTCGCCCATGATGGTCATTCGTGAAATGTGCTATCAGCACTATCACTGTGCTTACAACGAAAGTTTCACTATTGAATGCTGGAAGCGCGTGACACTCAACTACCGCCGCACTTTAGTGACTCGCCTTAAATTGTTTTTGTGTGTCCCAAGTACAGTGCCTAAAATACTTGTAGTGTGATTACCGTCAAGTGGCACGTATAGGGACACTTGAGGCCACTTGGCGATGTATCCACTAAGTGGCATGCTCTCCCGCATGCACGTCAGGCTATTACGAGAAACGCGTCTGCATACTTGACAGCATGCGTCGTGCAGGCTTTTCGTGTTGTTTTTTCCATTCAATTCATGCCTTGAGGAGTGAGGATGGCCAGACGAGAGAGTTATGTGCCCGGTTGCCAGAGGAGGTATAAATCGTGCAAAAAAAGTTGTCTTTGTTCGGTGTGCCCAAGGAAGTGGTGTTTAAACAGTGGCAACGCAACGTTCTGGGAGCAGACTAGACGCCTGAGCTTGCCTCCCAAATAATTTAGCACCACATCGTGAAAGCATCTCATCGACGGCACTGACGCTTCAATTCAAGCCAGGTAAAAATGGCGAGTTATCACTCGAGCAACAGCACAGAAAAGTGTGATCCACGATTGAAATGGTTATAAATACCAAGGATTTTAGCGTTCCATAGCACCTCGTGTAAGGGTTTCATCTGCTTCAAATCTTTCTTATTCATTTTCTCAGAATTCACATTTTCGGTATTTTGCTGCACGCACACTGTCAGGATCATTTCGCTAATAAAAATTTTTCATCAAAACCTAATAGATTCTGCATCACATTAGTGGATGTTGAATAGACTTCAGTAAGCAAAGTCATGCCATAAGGTTTAATATGGCTCCTTGTTTTATAAAGGTGTCCCCAGTACTAGTTTATATATTTTTGGTGCTTTATACACTATTTTTTTAATATTCATCAGATCACACTTGTTGTGATTCATTGCACTGGCCAAAGGTTATGTTATGTTTTACATAAAAGCCACTTTCCTCAATGAGTAACAAAAAAGATAGAGCTCCATAATGCTCACTGGGCCAAAAAAGATGTGCCTTGTAATATAGTCTAAGAAACTAAGGTTCCTAGCACTTTTTAAACATTTATTTTTGACGCTTGGCTTCATACCTCTTTAACAGTGTGCAATAAAGTTGTTCTGGAAAAAAGATTGCTCAGGCTGCAACTTACAAATTCAATGTTTTTGTGTAATAAAAAATATTTTGATAGCCGATGCTTGGTTTGTAATCATACAAAGAAAACAGCCGAATGAACACATCATACAAATAAACATGCTGTGGGCATTTGCTGTGCACTTCTGATTTATACATTATCATAACCGTCATCATTCGTTTGGGTCGGCCCTCATTTTCACCGGATGTCACCAACATCGTTATTGGATGTGTCTGCACTCTGCCTCAGACTGCCTGTTTGCTGCCGAATCCTTAAGCTGAATGAACACTGTCTACACAAAGACGTCATATGTGGTAGCGGCGGATTTTGGTCTTCAGTTCTCTCCCTGCCTGCTCTACCTCCTCCTGGAGCTTCGTTCAGGCCTCCATTTGGGCCCGCTGTCCAGCAGCACGTCGCAGAACGAGCCTGCCGGTGCTGTTGCCATCTCCAGCCTATGTCTATGGGTAGCACCTGCGTCACCATTTCAGCGTTTTCACTCTCCCTTTTAACTGATACCCACCACAAGATTGCCCATTGCTGCGACAGGCCCTTTAAATATGCCCTTTCTTTCCACACTTACAGCAAGTATTATTAATGTGAGGGCATACTGAATGAGTGTGGCTCAGAGAACTGCAGCAATAACAAGCCAGTAGCTGCCTACCGGCAGTCGTTTGCACCTCATGCAGATCAGCAGGATCATCATTGCCTTCACTATGACTCTAGTCTCGAGGACATGCTTTCAGGCTGCTTCCAGGGCTAGGGCGCGCTCGAATGCTTTTGGGAACGTCAGTTTGTCGTCTTCTGTTAAGAGTACTTGCTGCACGCCCTCCTACAGTAGTCCATAAACAAAACGATCCCGCAGCGCTTTGTCCTAATTCGCTCCAAACTGACAACCAGGGACAACTTCCGAAGTTAGCAACATATTCAGGCAAAGACTCTCCTTCGTGCTGTGTTCTGCAATAAAACTTTGCTCGTTCCCTGATTATGGACAGCTTTGGGGCAAGATGTGTATCTGAGAGGCTTTTCAGTTGCCCGAAACTTTTTTCGAATTGCAGGTCCGGTACAGCCAAGGACATGAGCAACCCATACGTATGCGGTCCGATGATGCTGAGGAATGCGTGTACCTTGTCGCTGTCGGGAACCTTGTTAATAATCAAAGAGGTCAATCTATCCTTGTATATCATCCAGTCGCTTGCAGTGATGTTGAACGACTCTATCTGGCCCAGCTTCTCTGTAGACGGCATTGTTACTTCTTCACCGAACTACTCGCTACTTCATTTTTTTTATCCCATCTTCATTGCCAGTGTTGTACCTCGTCCAAGGACTGACAGGCGAGGGTTCCATTGGGGAAACAAAAGCAATTATTGCCAGAAGCTGACGGGCTGGTGGTTACATCATGAATGGCCGTACAGTGCATTGAGTGTTACAATTTTATCTCTTGTGGGTGCATGCGCATCAATGCCTGTTCGGTTATCAGGTGTGCTATGGTGAACACCACAAACGGTGTTCTCTTTTGATTTACAAGAAGTGGTGAAAAAAGCACCCATCAGAAATTGCTCGAGAAATAACAGAAGCGCACTGTATAGCAAAAGCTGGCCTTGCATCTATCAGTGCCCCTTGGTCGGAACATGTGTACTTCCTTCATCAGGCGAGCAGTCTATGAAACTTCAATCCGTGATGTGATGGTGTTGTTTAATCTTGGTGTTAGGTTCAGGTGTTTTTGCATGCTTGTGCAAGTCTACATATTTGATGCAAAATGCTTTTAAACGCGAGTTGGAGGTTAGGACTGTTTCAGTCTGCTCCGCTGTTTCTTCTTTCCTGTAATGTGCTATACCAGTTCAAGTACAACTAGCCCGAAGATGCACACAGCAAAGCATATATTTCTCAGCCAGCATTAGCAGATAGTCAATGTTCTGTCGCAATAGCAAACGTATCTTTTAGATACACAGTGCTTTGTGCATTTTTCAGAAACATTTGCCCCCGAAAGTGTCGTCCACGATGTTATTGTCACTGCCCTCTTTCTCTGCATCGGCCCAAATGTGATGGTGGGAGTCTACAACTAAAAAGAAAAAAGATACAGTTGTAGAGGCTTTATGTCTGTGATTATTTTGTGAAAGTTGCTTTGTCCATTTTGAAAATTTGATATCAGGGCCTCCACTAATAAGTCCTTCATAATAACCATGGCTCTGACTCTGTTATCATAATCTTAAATCGTGACATTCTATCATGGTCTAACGGTGCTGGACTGCTGACCCAAAAGACATAGGATGGAATCTCAGCCAGGGCAGTCGCATATCACTGGAAGCGAAATGCTAGAGGGCTCTGTGCGTAGATTTAGGCACACATAAGAGAAGCACAGGTTGCGTAAGTTTTTCAACTCCTCTGCCACAGCACCCCTGATAATCATGTCATAGTATTAAGACACAAGACCCCAACAATTATTGCATGTTTCCCTAAATTATGAACACAAAAAAATTGATCGGTATTCTGTGGTGGTCATTTCATGCAGATGAGGATGACCACACCGACGAGAGTGTGGCGACTAGTGGAGGTGCCGGCGACATGTCAGTGGTCACTGCTGCCGACCGGTCTGACTGCATGCAGCTCAGCCCTTGCGCCAGCGGACAGAGGCAGGCTGAGCCACTATGACGACAGCCACATTTTAGTTTTTTAAGACTTTCCTTTTTTTTTCTTCTTGACAGTTCTGTCAGCAAGTCTTGTCTATACATCCAGGCCATCTGTGGGTGGAACAGTGTTTTCATTTTTCTTTCTTACTATAGAGTGAGGTGCTAGACGCGCAGTTTGTGTTTATAATCTGCAGCTTGAAGCACTGAAGCTTGGAAGGGAAGGTGCAAGAGTTAGGACAAAATCTCGAACAACCTCACCTGTGTTCATCATTCTCTTTTCTTTGCAATTCTTTACCTTTCTCACTTCACTTCAGTGCCTCACACTGCAAGTTCTGCTGGGCCAAGTCAAACCAGCTCGCCCACATCATCGTTCTCGTGAGTGGATATGTGACTGAAGGAAGTTCTCGTGTGATGTTTGCAATGTTGCTTCTGACTTAGGTTAGAAACTGTTCACGTGGTCACTACTTTGCCGATCCAGGCATCTTCGAAATTCCCAGAAATTCATACTGTTGTTTTCATCCCTCGTGTCTTCGTGTGTCTTTTCTACTCATGCAGTGCGCACATTTAAAACTAATTGAACGTTGGGTGAAGCATTGCTGACGTGCTTATCTGTGTAACGTGACTGGTCTAGCCAAGATGGGGGAGCTTTGCATTGATGAAAGAATTGAAAATGCAGTCTATGCCACTGTTCTTGCAATCATGCAAATTCATCTCTCTTTTTATGACAGAACCCAAACATTATGCTTCATGATGATCTTGAAAGTCTTTGTAAGCAGAAAAAGCCATCTAATGAAATATTGCATGATCAATTTTGTGGTTTTTAAAAAGCAGCGAGGTGCAGTACACATAAGAATTTTAGTACGCATCAGTATTTGCTCGTGTATAGGCTACCCTTGCATGTAATCTGTGCCTCCAACTAAAAACTGCGAAAAAGTATTAAAAAATTTAAGGCCTTCCTCACATTATTGCGAAGCCAGCTTGTGCCCAAAATACGGGTTTGAAATTTCTGTATATTTTGCATTGGTTATGCGTGTGCAAATATGGCTTGCGAGCATTATAAAGTCATGGTGAGACCACTGAACATATTATATTGTCTGAAGGATGCCATACCTGCACACTTTGTATGCCTGAACCTGTTGATATAATTTGACCTGCTGCTCCTTAAGCATTAGTTTTGCATTACTTGACCATTTAGACACAGTTGTATCAGAGCCATTTTTCTTATAAGAATGTCGATGACATTGGTCGGTTGAAACGTTTATATAAAGTCAGCTTTTGCCTACCCTAATGAAAGCTTTTAGGCTCAATTTATATTTGTTCATGGTCCAGCTACGTGTGCAAAGATGCGATAGTCATTAAATATCGAAACTGACGGGAACAGCACAAAAACGGGATGGAGAAAGAATGATCACACAACGCAAGCACTGACAAACAAATGTGTGTAAATCTATTATACCGGGAACTATATAGCTGAAAACCGAAACAAGATTAAAACCATCACGTGCACATAACGATGAAATGCAAGAAGAATCTGCCACTAGTCGAAATGTCCCATGCTAACTTCTCAAAAACATAATAATCCAGGAGGATGAGTGAAGGCTCACTGACACACATGTTTCCTTTCTTCTTGATATGAAAAACCTCGTTTATTTCCTGCTCTGTGCTCTTACAATACTTGAGAGCATCTTGCAGTTATGAAAGAGTGGGGCACAGCCGCACGAAGAACAATGGGCTGCTAAGGTGCTGCATGTTGAAGTTTTGAGATAGTTTGCGTGCTCTCTAAGGTGGTCGCTCAAACAGTGACCGGTCTGTCCACTATAGGTGCTGCCACAAGACAATGGAATAAAACACAACATTGCTAATGCACTCTTGAGAGACCTCGCGAACAATCTCAGGACTTCAATATGCAGCACCTTAGCAGCCCATTGTTCCTCATGCGGCTGTGCCCCGCTCTTTCATAATTGCAAGATGCTCTCAAGATATCCGAACAAGGCAGAGTGCGAAATTAATGAAGCTCTCCATGTTAAGAAGAAAGGAAATATGTATCGGTGAGCCTTCACTCCCCCTTTTGCTTTTGAGCAGTTAACATGGACATCTCGGCTTTTGGTGGATTATTCTTGCATTTCATGTTGATGTGCACATCAAGGTTTTAATTTTGTTTCCATTTTCAGCTATATACTTCCCAGTGTAGTAAGCTTACACACAGTTAGTCAGTGCTTTTGTCGTGAGATAATTCTTTCTCCGTCCTATTTTTGCTCTGTTCCCCTCGGTATCATGTACCAACTGGCCTTTGAACACACCCTTTTGAAATAACGAAACAGTCTGTCTATAGTCGTCACATTTTTCGCATTGCTGTGATCATGCAGACATATTGAGGTCAATTGTATGCTTTCTATTCAGAAAACATAATGGGGCTCTTCACTATTGCAAAAGTTTGGAAATTCAAAATCTTAGGCAAGTTGATTCGCTATAGAAAGAAAAAAAATGTCATCATGGACACAAGAGAAAAGAGGCACAGCGTAAATGCACTCCCTTATTGATTCTCTTGTGTCTGTGCAGTTTTGTCCAACATTTTCTGCAAAGTTTAGCAGTGTGAGGCCGAGAAACACATTCGACACGACCGCAATGAGCTTGTACACACTGTGAAAGTGCTCATACACATTTACTTTTATGCAGTTTGACGTTTTTGAGTTTTTAGGCATGCTGACAAAGAATGGACAGTTTTCAGAAATCTGCAAGGCCGCATTTCTGTAAGTTTTGCTTTCCAACTAAAAACTCGTGTTTACAGACTGCTTTTCTCGCTCATTGTGCTTTGACCTCTTTGAATTCCAGTGAAGGCACGCGAGTACAACACATATTTTTCCACTTTGTACATAACCTCAGCTATCGCATGGTAGACGGCGTAGAACCTGTCATTCGTAAGGAAAAAGGAGAAGGCAAAAACACAATGAGCGAGAAAAGCAGTCTATGACGGAGAGTTTTTGGTTGGAAAACAAGCCTTACAGGAAAGCCTGTTTGCATATTTTTGCAAACTGTCCATTGCTTGTGTATCATATTAGTCAATTTTTTTTCCTCTAAGTTTTTATCTTTTATGCTGTTGAAATTTTTATATAAGTACAAAATACCCTTGTTTACACAAGTTGGCACAATGTAATTTCGACAGTGACGGGTTTAAATGATGAAAAAAAATATATATATCATGTGTGTTGCTTCTGTTATTACTGAATTCTTGTGTCTCTACCTCTCTACATGAAGGAGCAAATGTTGTAGATTGTGGGCAAATTAGTTTAACATTTTTTTACATATCAGCTCATCGGCCCTGTCTGACAGATTTATTCATAGCAGACACTTTAAAAACTCAAAGCAGTCGTCAATCCATATTATACATAGTCAAGAGTTCGAGGGAATATTGTCTGCTGAGATGTAGGCATATTACAGTCGACTTCTGGTAATACGAAGTTAACGGGAACTGCAGAAAACTTAGAAATTAACAAACTGCCAATTAAGCATTAAATACAGCACTTTTTATTGCTTCAAACCCTACAGTTCTCAAAGAAAATAGTCTGTCATCTTCTCTTGCGAAACCTGGCTGCGGCTAGCAAGTTTTTCAAGCCTTACACATGTGGAAGTGCTTCTTCAGCATTGTCTTCTTCAACAAATCATTAAATGCAGCGCAAGAGCAAGACCCGCAGGAACATCGGTAGTCCTCGATGGCGGCTTGTTTCTATGTCATCATCCACTAGCCGAACCAACTGCACAATTTTTGTTTGTTAACTGCATGTATCGATGTTACTGTCCACGGCAATGAATTTTTCAAAACCGTCGTCGCTAAGAATGGCCTCAAAGCTACCGTTGTCAAGTTCATCTACTCGCACTTGTTAAAAATACAAGAGCAAGTTAGGCTTAACGCTGTAGTACTTTCGTGTGATGTCTTGCTTGGTGGTGCCTCTCTGTTCAACTTCTTTCACGATGTTCGTCTTTCGTCGCTAGGTCAAGCGTTCGATAAATACTGCGAGTTGCCATTATCAGACGTTGCCATTACGACACTCGCAATCGGCTGTGGAAGCACATGGGGAATCAACCCACAGTGCGTTGGCGAGCTATAGTTGGCGAGCTATAGTTGGTTTATTATGTTATGTTTGAACTGCGCAACTGGACACAGATGGAGCGGAACATGCAAACACACGCACAGCGCTGTCGGTGTGTTATTTTCTGCCAGCGTGCAGTCGCACTGTTCCAACTTCGAGACTTCTAGCGAGTGCGCAGCTGAAGCATAGAGTTTTCTAAAATTAGCTAGAGGGGACTCTGCTGTGGTTGTTCAGCAACCATGGGAATTATGGGTATGACATGGATTTGCCTAGTCTTTGTGCTTGCAGACGGCAAATTGCACTTGTGGCTTCATTTATTAGTGTGTTTCAGTTTTGTTTTCAACGAAAGAACAGACCGTTTTGAATTTCATGAGCTGAATTGAAATGGTGATCCTAAAAGGTGAAGGTGGTGAAGCGTAACTGCCGAACATTTGCCAATTGTTTTTTTTTTGTGACAAAGTAGCTTTAAGCCACGCGAAGCCAGAAGGAACGTAAGGTATGAAGAGTAGGCACATCCATGTACTGCCCATACTCCCCATGCTCGCTGAAGTGCCATGCATTGCAGCTCCCATAGACACTAGCGCTAGAGTTCTTTGTAGCGTATACCTAGCGAACTCTATTAGCTGAAGCACTCGACGCATCATAATGAAGGACCTAGTTAGCCAGTGCTATTGTGCTTCTCAGGGTCACCACCTTTGGGAATCTCAAGTAGTAGTCTACCACTAGAAGGAACGTCTAGTCATAGAGACGGAACAAGTACATTCCAAGAAATTCCCAAGGACGTTCGGGTAGAGCTGTGGAGACTGAGGGTTCTGCCAGGTTCACACGAGTGGAAGCACACTGTTGGCAGTTGGTGATGAGAGAGGCGATGTCCGCTGAGATACCCAGCCACCAAACCAACTCCCAAGCTAGAGCTTTAGTCTTGTTGATGCCCTGATGGCCTTCGTGCAACAGCGTCATGACCGCCGGCCGAAGAGGCGGTGGGATAATTATCCGAGCACCTTTCAGTGGGATACTGTCGCAGACAGAGAGCTCGACCAACACGGAGGCGTACTTTAACACATGCAGAGGTATCTTGTGGCCAACCTTGCTGGCAGAAGATGAGGGCCTTGCACTATCACTCAAATTCTAGTGCTTGTTTTGCATCTACAGGGCTGAGTGGCAGGACTTCCAACATGCAGCCGACTACTTGTGCTGCAAAGAGTTCCATAGGGTCTACATGAGTGGATGCCTTGTGGGTGATATGTGATAAGGTGTCTGCTATTGCTATCAGTTTTTCTGGCACATGCAGCATGTGGAACTGGTACTGCATTGTCTTGAGCCGTAGTTTTTGATGAAGCAGCAGCAACATATACAGTTCCATCTGGCCCAGAAGTAAAACGAGTGGCAGGTGGTCAGTCTTGATCTCAAAGGTGATGCCATGGACAAACTCGTCAAACCTTTGGATAGGCCACATCGTTGTCAAAGCTTCTTTCTTGGTCTAGCTGTAACGCTGTGCAGTATCAGTCATTGACCTCGAAGGGAATGCAACTGGGTGACGTTCTCCTGAGGGTTGAGTCTGCAGCAATGCTGTGCCAAGTTTGAAAGAGCTGACATCTAGAGACAGTGTCCTGGCATATGACAGGTGATACTTTCCCATGTACCTGTGTGACGTCAGGAGTTCTTTGACTTCCTTGAATGCTGCTGCTTGCTCATGCTGCAGCACCTAACTTGCAGACTTATTCAGCAAGGCTCTGATGGGTGCTGTGACATCCGAGATGTGTGGAAGGATTCTCGCGTAACAATTCACCATTCAAAGCTGTTGTCTAACACCAGCAACCTCTGTGAGAGCTTCTATAGCTTTGACCGCTTTCACATTGCTTGGGTCTGGCTGGATGCCCTGAGCAGAGGTGAACACTCCGAGGAAGGAGACCTCGAACAACCCAAAATGACACTTGTCCTCCTTCAATGTGATACCTACTTTTTCAAGGCGAGATAGCACCTGGCT